TCGGAGGCCCCAAAAGGTGGGATGAAGGTAGGTAGGATCAAGGATCCCTTATATAAGGACTATTATTGGGGAATTTTTCATTCGCAGCGGTAGGGTCCTCTCCGGACGCTCGCCTGGCATTGAATTCTGTGAAACAGTGAAACAGTCATGAGGCTGAGAAAAAACCATTGTTGCTTACCCGAAAGCCACATTGGGAAAGCCAAGAGGTGGCAATGCCTGCGCCTGTAGAAAAGCCTTTGCACGGGAGTTGGACCGGCTGCGAGGCAGATTGCTGGACGCATTGGGCACAAACATCACATGCGGATGCCAGCCAAGTAGCATAGGCATCTGCAGCGCGGACCGACATGCTTGTGGGGCAATGTGGTGAAAGGACAACAGGCGGTGGTGGCTCAAGGGACCACGAAACAACAGTGCCCGATGCTGCCACGGGAAGCGGGGACAGAGGCTTCCAGGCCGGTACGTAGTCTTCAGGTAAAGCCGCCTTGCTGGTACTCGGCTGGCGCGTGTCGGCACTGATGGTAGGGTCTAGCAACAGTAGCATGTTTTCGGCAATCTCAGCCTTGGTCGACGATGGTGGGAGGGAGGCCTGCCATTCAGAAACCGTACTGCGGAGGGTCGCTAACGGTTCGATGTGGCCTTCAATGACCTCCCACACTTCTGATTCGGTGCAGTCGTCGAGCTGCATAAGCACATTGAGCAAACTCAACGAGACCGTGTTATTGGGCAGACGGTCAGGGTCTGGAAGAGTGTCATGTACGCCTGAGACGGAAACAGGCAGGGCTAAGGGATGCAACTGGACTTTATCAGAGCCCTCAGCGGGGATAAAACTGCCCCAGTTCACGGAACACACAGGTGCTGCAACCAAATGTCGGCGTAATCGTCCGATGGTGGCATACACTTTGCCGCAAGACCGGCAAATCCTATCGTCCGGTAGCAGGAAAGCCCGTGAGCGGTATCCGTGGCAACGAGCAGCGTGGCCGGCCCATGACACCCGGGAAGGGAAGCTGCGCTTGCAGGGTAGGCACATCTCTTGGTGTGTGACTTCCTCCGGGGCAGCGCTCGGGACAGGGAAGCCAGCAAGTTCTGTCAGGAGCCTGTGAAGTCCATCAAGGGCAGCAACCACCGTGTGCTGGTGGATAGACAGAGCTTTGGCACGCTTGCACATACCTTTGAAGCGACCGGGGCTGCTAAGGATGAAATCTGCCCAAGCACGCCATGCCGTGTCAGGGTGTGGGAGCGAGGTGGTGGCCCAGCACCAGGCATGAAGCCATCTGAGGTCTGCTCGGAGGAGTTCAGCATATGGCTGATCGGCACGTATGGAGGCCCAGAGAGCATCCGGACCGGACCGCAGGGCTTGACCAAGGTATGACAGACGGGCAGTTCTGAGGAGGATTTCCGGGTCCGGAGCACGGAGCAGTGAGAAGCATGTAGCAGCCGTGACATGCTGATCAGCAGATCTGGGTATGTTCACAGTACTCCTGTAAAAACTCCATACTGTGCCCGCATACAGCTGCCTTCCCCGTCTATTCAACGGAGGCCAAGCACCTGCTGCATGAAGCAGCTTGGGAAGAACGGTAGAGGATAGAATGACCTGCGGGCCTGCGCAGCTCGATATCGGATCTCCTCAAGGATAGAGCCATGTGGTGCCTGCATGACACCTAGGTGCTTATACTTGGCAGTCAATGGGAGCTGCATGACAGGTAAATGTTCAAGCAAGACGGGTAGCTTCCCTTGCAGACCCTCCGGACCGAAAAGTCTCCTTTTCACCTGTCTACTCCGATGACCGCACAAGGTGACAACCGCAGCAGTTTTGTGGTCGCCAAAGGAGAGGCGGAATCCGAAAGAGAAGAATGCCTCGGTGATGGCAGTGACATCGGCTCGTAGGTTGGCTTCAACTAGTCCAGCTTCCGCAACAAGCCGAGGGGTAGCGATGTCATCTGCCCAAATGATATCGCTGATCACGACGCGTTGGTCACTGTCGCACGGTTCCAGAACTTTGCACCCATCCCATGGAAGGGTGGGCGGTTGCGGCTCGTGGTGCGACTCAGCAAGAATCTGGTCCCTCACACGAAGGATCCTGGGCATCAGGAATGCAAAAAGGATATCAGCCCAGCTGCTGCCAGGGCGAGTGCCTCTGGCGGTCGCCACCGGTGTGGCATCGCCAGCTACCATGAACCAGTTGCCATCACCTAGGTGCGCCGCAAGTTTCTCAAGCCACGGGGACACCCCGACCTGCGACAGAACGGAAGGGTCCTGCAGGGCGCAGGTGAGCTCGGCCTGCGCCTCTGCGGGCAAATGTAGCCCGTGCATAGCGCGCACCAAAGCTTCACGTTGTCGCCTCCGAGTGTGCAACCAGTTGTACCAGAGCACTGTAGAAGGCTGCCGAGATGTCGGCGTAAAGGACGTATCCGGAAAGGCTATGCTGGTGCGCATATCTGGCCAGAGACCTCAGAACATGTGAGCCCAGGGCGACGCTGCACCCTGCGCGACCTCCCAACTGAAGTGCAGGAGCACTTGCCTCAAAGACAGTTTTGATGGCCGGCCGGATCGACTGGTGAAAGGCCTTGGCCCATGTATTCATGAGGAGGATAGACCTGTATGATTGACACTGGTCTGTTGGGCCTCTGCCTTTGTACAGTACAACGGCTTGGCCACCTTTATGACCCAAGGCCTCTTCACCTCGCCACAAGAACTTGAGCAAGAGGGGATACAGGAGGTCTGCTGACTCGTCGGCAAAGTATCTGTTCAGTTCCGGTGGAATGGAGTCCATACCGGAAGCTTTCCCACTTTTGGTACTTGCAAGGATCCGGCGGAGGAGGGGCAGGCTAGGGACCTCTGAAACATCAAGAGGGTGCTCGAAACCTGCAGAAGGACCTGTGGCCTGTGTGCGCTGAGCAAGCTCAGTGAAGGTAGTGTCCATGCCCGCTTCTAAGCCGGCGAAATGTTGCCGCCAGCGCTGTTGAACCTCAATAGCGTCAGCACATGGATCGCCATCTGCTTTAAGGATTCCTGGAAGAGGCTCCAACCGGAACGCTTTCTTCCGCCGATGCGCCAGGATCCGATGGTATGCGGCAAAAGCTTCCTTAGCAGGTGCTGTTGCGATGGTGTGCGCAAGTTCCGAGATGTAGCAATCTCGGTCGCGTCTGCAGGCTTTGCGCAATTGTTTGCATAAGGTGCGCAACTCTCAATGCAGACTGAACTTGACTCTCTGTGCACGAAGGAACCAAAGACGGCCTTGCGCGAAGATCGAGGAGAGAGGTAATCGCTGGCTCCAGGCATAGAACCCTGAGGCGAGGTCACTGCGGCTCGCAACATCAGTCAGGCGATGCAGCGCTCTGCGCAGGCAGGCCACGCGACCTTGCAGCTCCCAAGTGGCCTCAGACAGATATGGGTGGTGAGGCCTGCGCTGTGACTGTGAGTGTTGAGAAACTCTGGCCAAACCTTCTTGGACGTGGTGCGTAATAATAGCAGCATGTGCATGGACGGACACATTCCGGTTGACGACTGGGCCTTCGCGTAGGATCTGCGCGACAGCATCTCTATTGGAGGGATGTGTGAGGGCCTCAATGGGGAAGGTCCGGCGAGAGAGCCGTGTGCGCGCTGAGGGTGCACGGAAAGTGGCACGCACCTGCACAAAAGCAGCAATATGATCTGGAGTAGAGTGTGCTGCGTGAATGTCTGGTGCCGTGTATGAAGACACGTCACCAGCAGTCCAGTCGATGGGAACCGCAACAAAGTCTGGCCTGCAAAGCTGGCCGCCGTGCTTCTGTACATATGTGTGCGAAGGGCCCGTGTGGCAGTGGTCCATGGTTGAAGGGAAACACAAATTGTAGGTTTTTGAAAGGCGATGTAAGTACTCGCCGGCAGTGTCTTCATCTTCTGGGGCAACAGGTCCAACATGCCTGGAAGTAATGCTGCCAAGGGATGCATTCATATCCCCTCCAATAAGGACATGCGACTGTCTCGCATGTTGCTGCAGAAGTCGCTCAGTGTGCTGCCACCAGTGGTCTATGGCTGCTCTCTCCGTGGCTCGGTGTGGCCCGTGGAGAGAGACAAACAGAACAGAGATACTCTTTCCCGAGAACCGAATCAGCAATCGGCGAGGATCTTGATGCACCACCACAAGGGCAGGGGTCTCAAAAGTATCCCTGCCTTGAGCGGGTGCAGTTCCTTGCAAGAGTGGCTGCCCCGTAGCGAACCAGATTTCTGTGCCATGCTGACCCCGGTCTGCTCCAGCGATAAAACGCAAGTATCTACCTGCTCTAGTGGTGCCAGTGTCAGCTCTAGTCTCTTGGAGAAAGGCGACGGTAACTCCATGCTTATGTAACTGATCGGCAAGTAGAGCAGCCCGAGCAGGCCGAAAAGCCAAACCTTCCGTAACATCCTCAGCCGGGCTTGCATCGGCTTTGCCTCCTAGGGAGAGGACATTGAAGGTGACTGCAGTAAGGTGAAGGTGATGTACAACATCGGTATCTGGAGCGCCAGAAACTTGCGAGACGTCTAGGGCACCAGGTGGCAGGAAGGGTTCGAGGAGTTGTGTGCGAGTGAGACCCGCATGAAACTGATTGTCACCGACAGCTTGGGTGAAGACCGGTGGCACTGTGGGGTCCCCTCGCAAACTGCGAAGAGAGTGGCTCCAAGTTTCGAGGCTCTGTCAGCCCACTCATTGCCTAGAATTCCCGCATGACCTGGAACGTGAAAATAAGCATCTTGCCTGCCACACACTTGCTTCCGGAAAGTGTGCACAGATGCCAATGTGTGTGGTATGCCTTGTAGCTGATACCCACAACGGCCGGCAGCAGCATCTATTGCGGCAGTACAGTCTGAGACGAACAACATTCGTCGATGACTGAAGGATGCAGTGCTGACTAGGGCAGCAGCTGTCAGGGCCTGACATTCCGCCAAATAAGCGTTGACAGAAGTCACTAGATCGGCAACTGGAAGGACCGGGCCGAGTGTGATTGCAAAAGCATTGGCCAAGGGATCGATAAAAACCACAGCCCAACCTGCTCTAGCTGAGCCTTGCCTACCCGCCGGTGTATAGGAGCCGTCGGTGAAAGCCCACAGGTCGTTGGGTTGGCTCTGAGAGCGCAGGGCGGCAAGGAAAGCCGGCCATGAGGATTCTGCCTCTTGCCGAAAGAGGGGAAGCAGGGAGATAGCCTGCTGCCAAGTGAGGAGTGGAGCCGGCGCCGTGAAAAACCTTTGCAGCTGTTCCATGGTGAACCCAAGAGGGGTTCGGCCAATGGTCACAGTGTCAGCAAGTGTGATCCCAGGCGGTAGCGCAGGCCATTCAAGCACGGAACGTGAGGGTAACAAAAGGGGGAAGGCACTATGGCTGACATCCTCGCTGGGGATGAGGTGCTGAAGTGCGAGCACTTGGCGCGAAGCAGGGCACTGATTATTGGGGAATATCCCACCTACCTTCACCCCACCTTTTGAGGCCTCCGAGAAGAGCTCTCTCGGGATCCAGGTACCACGTTTCAGGGTCGAGGGTTTAGGGTTTTTAAGGCTTAGGCTCTAGGATTTAGGGTTTAGGGTTTAGGGTCTAGGGTTTAGGCTCTAGGGTTTAGGGTGTCAGGTCGAGGATTTAGGGTTTAAGGCTTAGGCTCTAGGGTTTAGGGTTTAGGGTTGGTTTAGCGGGTTCCAGAAGGGTTTTTTGAAGGTTCTGAGAGGGTTATACGGTTCTTTAAGGTCTTGTCTGTATGGCGGTGAGATTCTTACCGACTACATCTCTTCAACACAGAAACTTCTTATTCTTCCACACGGAAATCTTGGATCTTGGGCTGTCTTGGTACAAACGGGTCGGCTCGGACTGTCAGCCAGGCACTCCAGCTGCCTGATCGGTTCTACTGGGGCTTAGGGCTTTTAGGGCTTTCTGGGAGGGATCTGCCACCAAAAGGCTAAACCACAAACAGGGTCTAGGGTTTAGGGTTTAGGGTGGGCAGAAGGAACTTCCAGCTCCACGGAGTTCTGTGAAAGCACAACGAAAGTCGCTTGACGGGGCATGTGCCGCCACCCACCAACCCTGGTGCGAGGTGGCGCCATCTTAGAATTAGCGGTTGCAGACACGCGAAACCCCACCCCCCAAACCCTAACCACAAAATCCTATGCCCAAACTCCAAAAAAATACGAAAAGGCTACACCCCAAACCCCCAAAACCCTATACACCAAAACAGAAACAAACCCAACAAAAACAACGAGAAGCCTAGATCCCTCCTCTGATAAAGAAGATCCAATAGTTACGAATAGTTTTTCCATAGGGCTCCGACGAAGAATTACACTACGAATAAGCCCTACACCCTGTTCAATTCTTCAGGCCACCCTACACCCTAAACCCTAAGCCCTAAACTCCAAACCCGAAGCCCCAAGCCCTACACCCTAAACCCCAAGCCCTTAAGCCCTAAACCCTAAACCCGAAGCCCTAAACCCTAAACCCTGTAGTAAGCTTCCGCAGTCCAGGAGTGGATCTTCAGCCGGGAGGAGGCGCGGGGTCGGAGGGCACACGACCTCAAAAGCAGGCTTTGAGAGAGTTTAGCTTGGGATTTTTTGGGGGTTTCGGCTTTGGGGGCGTAGGGTCTACATTTTTAGGGTTTAGAGGTTAAGGGGTTTAGGGCCTAGGGCTGAGGGGTTTGGAGCTTAGGGCTTAAGGTTTGGAGCTGTTCTTTTAGGGCTGAGGGCCTAGAGTTTACGCTTGGCGTTGAGGCCAGGACTCTGCCCTGGATCCGGGAGTCGTCCGGTTGTTGAACTGCGATTAGAGTAGGGTTTAGTTAGGGTTTAGGGTTTAGGGTTTACGGTTTAGGGTTTAGGGTTTAGGGTTTGGGGCTTACGGTTTAGGGTTTAGGGTTTAGGGTTTGGGGCTTACGGTTTAGGGTTTAAAGAGCCGTTTCTCAAGCCACGGGTGAGAGAGTGGGTTTAGGGTTTTGGGTATGGGATGAAAGATCAGCAGTATGCGTGTAGAAGATATGCTCGCAAGGCCCCGGGTGTCGGGGATGCGTTGGCACCTCGGTAGCGACAATGGAGCATAACGAAAGCTATGACCCATGTCAAAAGTATGCTCATGCTTGGAATGAGAACCCCCACCAACGACAACGAGCAAACACATGCAATTGACCGACTGGCAACACAAGTGCTGTAGCAGAGGTAGGGGGTGGGTGAGGAGTAGGACATGGAGGTGGCGGCTTGTAGCTTAGATGGTCGAGAGAAAAAGTGTCGGGGCTCATTCAACTCGAAACTCAAAGTCTTGCACACCTGAGGACCTATAACAAAGATGCTACACATGCTCTCTGCATCGAACTGGCACAAAGCCCGAACTCCCAACATCGTGAACACTACCCAGAGGCCCAGGACCTTAAAGCTCTCAACCCCTACATCATCAAACCCGGCAGCCCAGAATCCCAGCCTACTGCAGGGGCCTCAATAATTAGAAGACTGTATTGGGATTCGCATTTTCAACTAAGGGCGGTTTATGGAAAGCTTCTGTGAACTTTGAAATTCGACCCTCACATGCCGTAAACCCTGAATCCCACACGCTTGTAGAACCCTAACCCTAAACCCCAAACCTTTATAGAACCCTTACAAAACCCCAAAACCTAAACCATTCTGGAACCCTTCTAGAACACGGAACACAAGTGCTTATAGCAACCCTATGGGAGCCCTAATAGAACCCGAATAGGAACCCAAAATCCTAAACCCGAAAACCTAGCTAAACCTTAACCCCTCAACCCTAAACTCTAGACGCTAAACCTTAAACAGCAAGCCCTACACCCTAAACCGATATGGGAACCCACGAAAGGCCAAGCTTCTGCCATCTGTGATCTTTTGTTGGGTGGCCTTCGAACCTGCGAGCAAAGGAGCAATGCATGACAATCTTAGGGTTTAGGGTTGTTATGCTTTTAGGTTTGGGGTTTAGGGTTTAGGGTATTTGGTTTTGGATTGGGACTTAGGATTTTAGGGTTTAGGTTTTAGGTTCAGGGCTTTGGGCTTTGGGTCTAGGGCTTAGGGCTGAGGATAACAACCTTGGGTTCAGGGTTTAGGGTTTTGGGCCAGGGGCCGGCTTAGGATGGCAATCCTCTGTGGGTGTTACTGTTGATGATATAAACCCAGCATTACCTTAAGGACGGGAATTACGGTATATTCCTTATTATGGGTCATGCAGGGTTTATACCATCAACCGTAATGTACTGGCAAGTGGCATACTTGCTTTGATCGACGATGAAACGATGCAAAAGTGGCTGGAGCAAGGCTCGAGGGTCTGGGATCCTTGCTGATTCTGAGATGTGTGGGTCTAGAGGAAGGTTACTAAGGGCTACTATAAGGGTCACCATGAAGGTGCTATGAGGATAACTATTCGGGTTACTAAAGGGTTCAGGCCGTTTCGCACTTCTTTCGATTTTGGAAAATGTGTGGAGCAATGGGGTCTTTAGACTCTTCCAGCAGTTTGGAGTGAATTCGGAGAGGCAGGATCGGAGTTACAGAACCCATTCGAGTAACCATTAGAGTAACCCTGAAAGTAAGTCCGTATAGTAAGCCTTTTTGCAAGCTGTACAGAACCCTTACAGCACGGTTCGGCAAGGGTCCTATGATAAAGTATGTAGATTGCCATCGTGCCGTTGCTAGGCAGCATGTAAGGCTGAGCATGAAGAGGGGCATTAGACAAGTGATAACGTGCCTTGCCCGTGCATGTCTGTGTGTCTGCGTGCTGGTGAGTCTGCATGTCTGTGTGTCCTTGTGTCTCTGTGTGTATACACAAAATATATAAAGAAACATAAACACAAACATACACAAACAGAAAAATTGTTAAGTATAAACATACACATAAATATAAACGTATACGTGTGGTGCAGAACCCTCCGCGAAGCAGCAGCAACGATAAGCGGCAACAACGGGAGCAGATCGGAGCAAAATACAATAACAACCATCATCATCACCATCCTCACCACGTGAAGGAAATCTGGTGCCCGGCGTCGAAAGGGTCTAGACGGCCTCACCCCCTAGCGGAACCTGACCAAAACCCAGCAAATTTGCCAAAGAGCACAGCCATCTCCTTCAAATGGCCCGAGAAGCCCATACCCTCAACCCGTAAGTAAACCCTAAACCCGAAACCAAACGTCAGCTTTGAGCACGAAAGACGGCAGGACACACAAAGCGAGAACAATAACAGCAGCCTGCATGACAGTGTCGAAGCACAGAAAACTATAGATCCTAAATCCTGAGCCCTGCATCCTGAACCGTAAACCTTAAACCCTAAACCCTAACCCCTAAACCCTAATCCCCTACCCTGCATCCTAAACCCTAAACCCTAAACTCCATCCTCACTCCAAGGCCTAGGCAAACCCTTGGCACACAGGCAATTACTGAGGCTCCTGCCAAACCCCTGTCTCTTTGAGCTTTCAACACAGCCCTTATACAACACTGGAGCCCAAACCGGCGGAACGGCGACGGAGGGTTTAGGGTTTAGGTGTGGGCTTCCTCAAGATTCTGATACAGTAAGATACTGGCCCAAGTATTGCTGTTCCACATGGGCATGGCCCAAGAGGAGGGTACCCTGACATGGCCACCAAATCGCAAGGCCCAAGGACCGCAGCACGGGGTTTAGGGTTGAGGGGTTTAGG